GAAGGCAGAGATTCCCAGAGCCAGTCCTTGGGGTCCCAATCATGTCCTAGAGCTCGAATGGGAAGGACTGGGATGGATGGATGGATGGATGGATGGATGGATGGATGTGGTCTCATATGCCACCTGCCTTTTCAAATGCAGTCTCAGGACATCAAAGTGCTACAGAAGGAACTTGAGCAGTTTGCTAAGCTTCTGAAGCAGAAGAGGATCACCTTGGGATATACCCAGGCCGATGTGGGGCTCACTCTGGGGGTTCTCTTTGGTGAGTTTCCCTCAGCATGTTCTGGGACTACATCTCTTGCTGAAAGGAAAATTCGTGAACTTGAGTTTCACCTCCACTCAGGGAGTGCGGGATAGTGTTTCATGGGGGGGGGGGGGGGCAGGGGGCCGGTGGGGTCTGTCTAGAGGAAGGGAGGGAGGGAGGGAGGAGCATCTTGGGCTGTGGGTTTCCCCTGGGATGAAGTGGGTCCTAGGCTTCGGTCACCAGAGCTCTGCCTGTTGCCTCACTATGTTCTCTCCCTGGCCTCCCCAGGGAAGGTGTTCAGCCAAACAACCATCTGCCGTTTCGAGGCACTGCAACTCAGCTTCAAGAACATGTGTAAGCTGCGGCCCTTGCTGCAAAAGTGGGTGGAGGAAGCGGACAACAATGAAAATCTACAGGAGGTAAGAGCGTAGGACTCCACACCTGCTGGTTTTTACAGCTTCCAGTTTGCAGCTCTCCTCCCTCTTCTGAGCCATTCTCCTAGATAAATCCTCAGTTCTGTTGGAGGAGGTTCAAGAACCTTATTTTGGTGGAGTGGGTTTTTGTTCTTTTTGGCGGGGCAAGGCACACCTGGAGATGCTCAGGGGTTACTTCTGACTCTCCACTCAGGAATTACTCCTGGCAGTGCTTGGAGGAACTATGTAGAATGCTGAGGATTGAGTCTATATCGGCTGTGTGCAAGACCCCCGGAGTGGGTTTTCTTATTTTGGTTCTGGTGGGCATTGGTTGGGCCACACCCGACACTGCTCAGAGGCTTCTCCAGGCTGCGTGCTTGGGGTATGCCTTGTCTTGGTGGTGCTCAGGAGGCAACATGGTTCTAGAGAACGAATCTGGCCTCCGGGATGCAGCTCCTGTGTTCCGGTCCTGTGAGCTATCACCGCAGCCCGGAGAGCCACTGGTGTAAACCTTTCCAGCCACCTCTCCTGTAGCACTTGGCTGCGGTGACTCAGGAGTGCATGAGCTTGATGTTCTCTGGCCGACATGCTCTCTAGTCTGTGGTGCTGCTGCTCAGCTGGATCAAAGCTTGCCCTCTTTATATTTTTTGCTTTTTGGGTCAAACCCGGCGATGCTCAGGGGTTACTCCTGGCACTGCACTCAGAAATTACCTCTGGCGGTGCTCAGGGGGCCATATCGGATGCTGGGAATTGAACCCAGGTCGGTTGTGTACAAGGCAAATGCCCTACCCACAGTGCTATCGCACAGCTTGCCCTCTTCTTCTCCCGTGTCACCCTCTCTCCTCTTGGCCAGATATGCAAAGCAGAGACCCTTGTGCAGGCCCGCAAGAGAAAGCGAACGAGCATCGAGAACCGAGTGAGAGGCAACTTGGAGAGTATGTTCCTGCAGTGCCCCAAGCCCACGCTGCAGCAGATCAGCCACATCGCCCAGCAGCTCGGGCTCGAGAAGGACGTGAGTGGGGTCTCCTCCTTCCCAGTCACCTTAGCTTTCCCTGGAAAAGTGGCCTAGCCTGGCCGGCCCCACCGCCCCGAGCTCCTGAGCTCATGCCTCTCTTCGCTATCCTTCCCAGGTGGTCCGAGTGTGGTTCTGCAACCGCCGCCAGAAGGGCAAGCGATCCAGCAGTGACTACGCCCAGCGGGAGGATTATGAGGCTGCTGGGTCTCCTTTCACAGGGGCCCCCGTATCCTTTCCTCTGGCGCCAGGGCCCCACTTTGGTACCCCAGGCTACGGGGGCTCTCACTTCACTACACTCTATTCCTCGGTCCCTTTCCCTGAGGGTGAGGCCTTTCCCCCGATGGCTGTCACTGCTCTGGGCTCTCCCATGCATTCAAACTGAGGTGCCTGCTGTCCCAGAGGGGCAGAGGAGAGGGCAGAGCTAGGGAAGGAGCCTGGGGTTTGTACCAGAGCTTTGGGGGATTGCGTTCTTCATTCACTAAGAAAGGAATTGGGGACACAGGGTGGGGGGGACAGGAAGATTGGGGACTGGTTGAAGGGAAGGTGAAATTCAAGGATGCTCTTGATTTTAATCCCCAATTCACTCATCACTTTGTTCTTAAATAAAGAAGCCTGGGACACATTACACAGTAGGTGGATATTTTTGTCTTTGGTTACTGAAGAGGGGATGGAGCTATGACCCAGAAATCAAGGTGCTGTTTAAATCCCTGCCATAGGATGAGATCGAGCTAGTTTTTTTTTTTTAATTGAATCACCATGAGATAAGAGTTAAAAAGCTTTCATGTTTGAGTCTCAGTCGTACAATGATCGAACACCCATCTCCACCAGTGCACATTTTCCACCACCAATGTCCCCTCCCACCCCGCAACCCATCCTTTCCCCTGCCTCTATGGCAGACAATTTCCCCCATACTCTCAACTTCTCGGCATTATGGTTTGCAATACAGATACCGAAAGGACATTATGTTTGGTCCTTTATCTGCTTTCAGCACACATCCCATCATGCCAAATGGTCCCTCCAACCATCATTGACTTGGTGATCCGTCCTCTACAACTTCCTTCTCCCCTAGTGCATGAGGCAGGCTTCCAGCTATGGAGCAATATTCCTGGCCATTATCTCTACTGTCCTTGGGTGTCAGTCTCATTATGTTATTTTATATTCCACAAATGAGTGCAGTCATTGTATGTCTGTCCCGCTCTTTCTGATTCATTTCACTAAGAGAGCTTGTTCTTAAGAGCAGGTGACAGAATCTTGGCAGATGTGTGACTCGAAGGCCTGTTTGTCCACAGATGCAGTTGCTATGCGTCTGGAACCGACTTTTCGTCCCTCCTCCCTATTCTGGATATGTGCTTGGTAGATACATGCTATGAAATCAGATGTTTAGGTACTTACTACCTCTGTCCTACACTTCACCTTTTTCTTTCATGGTACGAGGGAATTCTTGGTTTGCACTTAAGGTTCCTGTCTTATAGTCTCTGGCTCCTTGTTTTCTTGATAGGAGAAAAACTTGATTGGCCACTTAGGCCAGGCAGAAAGGGTGGATGTGGATGTTTACAATCTAATAAGACTACCTAGGTAAGGCTTTCCTTATAAGGACTGTGGAGATCTGTTTATGGGTTGGGGGCCACACCTCAGGGTGTCCCGGGGGTCACTCCTACTGGTGCCTGGGGGGAACCATGCCGTGTATCTGGGACAGAAACTGTCAGTTGTATGCAAGGCAAGAGCTTTAACCCCTGTAATATCTCTCCGGCTAGATTGGAATTTGGGCTTGGAGAAGGCTCACAGAAAACCAGGTAGGTCGGTCCATCCTAGACCAGGTCAACATCTGATGTGGTAGCTGGTTTACCAGGTTTTCTCTTTCCTTTTGGTGGTACCTGGGATTGAACCCAGGTCTCTTGCATGAAAAGCATATATTTGACCATTAAGCCACATCCATGGCCCCTCAGGCTTTCTCTTTTTCCGCGTAACACTAGAAAAATTAAGGTATTTCCCCCCTTCCACCTGAACTTGAATAAATCATAGCTATCTTATTTATATATTGGTTTCTGGACCACACCTGGTGGTTCTCAGGATTACTCTTGAATTACTCCTGGCAGTGCTTCGGGGATTGTATGAGATACTGGGGATGGAACCCACGTTGGCCACATGCAAGGCAAGCACCCTACCCGCTGTATCTCTCCAGCTCCATCAGCCATTTTAATACTAATGAATCTGATTTCATTTGAACTAGAGATCTCAGTTACTCGCATTTTTTCCCTTGTCTCCTACCCAATTCATACATTTGTGTGCTTTCTCAGGGAGCTGCTTTGTACTCTTCTGTCTTGTCTCCTCATCTCTTCCTTTACTAAGAATAAATACTCAGGAGAAAGTGAAGTTGCTTAATCTTTATTTGAAAACAGAAGTATAGCTCTAGGTCAGCCAGCTCCCAGGGAGGGTTAGAAGCAGAGTAAGTCTTACCCACCAAGTAAGACTTCCCAGGTATGTCTCCTTAAGATTGAGAACCACGAGAACTTCTTGTTCCATGTGGGGCTTTCATCTTCCCAGTGTGGCCTTTGTACTGATGGGTGTTCTGATCATAGACATTCTCGGATCTGTGACAATTAGGCTTGTGACTTGGGGATTTCCAGCTCACTAAAACTTTGTGGAGGCAGCAGAATCTTTGGCAGGAACAATCTCTTCTGTCTTCTTGGCTACAGGGGCCTCCTTCAGGCCTTGAATCCATATCCATTGCCATAGTAAGAAGCCTTTTCCCAGTAGTCATTCCCTCCTGGGGAGGCAAGGGAAGAAGGGGATGTTTCTTAGGACCCATTGGTACCTCCACAGTCCACTCATGGCCTTGGAGGTGCCAGATATGTCCTCTGGTGCCTTGGCTGGTGGTGGGCTTGAGGTGTGGATGCCAATACAACAACCCCTGGGCACCAGAAGTTGGCCTCCCTGGCAGCCTGGATGCTGCGGCCACATGGAACCAGATGTCACAACCATCACACTGGAACCCAGGCCACTGTCTCTTCTTGGGGTAAGCAGCAATAGGCTGCACAGGGCTCCCCAGCCCCAACTTTAGGAGGAGCTAGAGGGGTGCCCACTGGGTGCTTCTGAGGATGCCCACATAGATTTCTGGAGTGACACAAAAACCAAGAGTCATTCGAAACCTAGAGAAGCCAATAACTTGTCCCTGGACCATCAGTCACCCTAGAGAGGGCTGAAGCAGGCCCACCCACATCCTGTGCTACCTCTATCCCCTTCCCATCTCCATCCCTGTGGCAGAGGGCTGCCTTCGGGGGCCTCTCCCTAAGAAGGAAAAGGCAATGAAACAGCAAGGTCTCTGCACTTACCCACTGGTTACCAGGGTGCCTTTTTCTATTCGAAGTTTCTTCCTGGGCTCTACCAGGACCAGCGAGGGGCTATCAGGAGACTCTTTCTCATCATCCAGTTCTGCCAGCACTCGGTGAGCTGATTTCCTCCGATTCCTCTGCAATGGGGCAGAAGAGGCACTCCCCACATTGCCGGGGAGAGTGGAGGAAGGCTGGCTTTGTGGCTTGCTCCCACCGCGGGAGAAGGTGAGGGGCTGGGGCCTCAGCTTGCTGAGGCTGCCAATGGAATTGAGGATCAGTGTGGCTTTGGGAGCAGGGGAGAGGGTGCTGAGGGGACGCTGTGGAGCTCCCTGAGGGGGCAGCATGGGCTGGAAACCGACCCTGGTTCCCTCTTCTCCCCTAGACCGTGGGATGGTAATGGCAGCAAAATCTTGAGGTTTGACTCGAACTTGCTGAAACATGAAGTAGAACTCAGAGGGACTGCTTCCTGGGAGCCCTTCAGGGCCAAAGGTCAGGAGGTCACCATCACTTAACTCCAGCCTGTGTCCCCTGGGAAGTCGGACATTGTTGACCAGCGTCCCTGTTGATGGTATGGTATCAGAGATAACAGGGAAAAAAAAATTGAGAGATTAGGTGGAGAAATAGCTCCGTTTAATTTTTCTGGGAAATAGGAGGAAAAAAAAAACACAACTCTGCTCCATTTGGATTCCCTCAGCAGGTGACATCAGATAAAGCAGCTCCTGGTGGGCTGGGAACTCCTTCTACGGCATGTACACCCACCCTGCTCCAACTCAAGCTCAACTCTGGCTTCAAGTTCTGACTTGACCCCTTAGAGCTATAACTGGATAGCTTAGCCTCTGCCTCGTTTTTGTTGCCTGTGCAATGGGGGTGATACTCCTGCTCACCTACATTATTTAGATAGGAAAATTAAGATGTAGAGAAGTGAGTGAAAGGCGTGGGGTTTCATCTGGGGTCTGTAGCAGAACTGGACTCATGACCCAGGCTTTCTGGGGATCAGTAAAGTAAGATCAGCATGATAGAATTTAGAAACAAAGTGCCAGCAAATCTGGAAACAGCCTTCAGACCTGAGCTCAATCCTGGTGGCCCTAGGACATGCTCACTGATGCTTCCCAGGTACTACACTGGGGATCTACCTCCTAGATTCTTTTTTTTTTTTTTTGTATCACACCCGGTGATGCTCAGGGTTACTTCTGTATGGACCATACGGGATGCTGGGAATCAAACCCGTGTCAGATGCGTGCAAAGCAAATGCCCTACCCCTGTACAATCACGAGCCCCTACCTCCTACATCTTAATTGCTAAACGAAATACCCTGAGAACCTCTGACATGAAGCTCACGGCAAGCTAGGCAGGAGGCTGGCTCAAGGACCTGCTCACTCACCTTGGCTGCTGCGGTCCTCCAGGCTGACCCTCCAGTCATCACCCCTGCGCTCAGCGTGCAGCTCTGCGTGGACTCCAGAGATGAGGCCAGGCTCCCGCTGGGGCAGCAGGGCCACATCACACAGGTCGGCCCTGCAGCCCAAGCGGTAGGTGCAGCCAGCTCCGTGCGGGTGGAAAGTGTAGAGATCGCCGCCCTTGCCGCCCCCTATGCGCAGCAGCTGGAAGCAGGGCAGCATGGGCGGTGTCCCTGACGCGCCACCTTTACACTTCACAAGTCCATCACCTTGCCCACTCCCGAGCCTTGCGAGGTGGCCTGGCTTCACTTTCCATCTGCTGCAGGCAGAACTTGAGCTGTACTTTGTGCAGTTTCGATCTTCGACAACAAATTGTCAAGTAGCTGCGATTGCGGAGGGTCCCCGTGCAGTTCTAACGAACAACCTCTATGGCACCTTGGATGAACCGGATCGACTCAGGTTGCAAAGTATTCTGAGAACCTTTAATCTGCAAATCAATGATTATTAGCCAAGTTCTGAAAAGATGCAAAATACAGGAGGGTGTGTGTGTGCGCGCGCGGCGCAGAATTCCTGATTCAGTGCAACTCGTCACCGCTGTAATTGGAGAATTTTAGTCATACTGCTTATCCAGTAGATACAGATTATCAGAGTAATCCCCCCTGCTCCCCGAGTCTACTAGCTTGGCCCTCAGTGGCAAGCGAATTCACTGTCACCCCCAAAAGGCAGTGTGACAAAGCGGATCAGCACCCCTCCTCCCCCCGCTTCCCGGCTTCTCCGGGTGGGGTAAAAACAGCAAAGAGCTCCCCGAGGACACGCAAGGCAAGTCTCACCTTTTCCCTTTGCCCGATCCAGCCGAGTTTCGGATCTGCTAGGCAGTGCTGTCTCGGAGTGGTCTCTCCAGAGAGAAGGAACCTGTGTGGCTGCACCGGGACCCCTGTGGCGTTCCCGCGGCTGTTTGACAGCCGGGAAGGCGCAGAAGCCCGGCCCGCAGGGGTGCGACCTTCGCGCGCGCGCAGTGCCGAACCCGCCTTCGAAATGCCCGGGCCGAACTTCGCGCCCTGCGAGCCCGCCCCCATACTGTTTCTGATTGGCTAGCTTGTTTCACCTCTTCAGCCCCATTGGGCAGCGCGCTGGGGAGGCGGGGAGAGCCGCGATTGCCCGCCTTCGGCCTTGTCTGATTAGCTCACAAGTTTTCCCGGGTTCCCGAGGTTGGGAGGAGTCGTCAGGGCGCGGAGCCGGGGCAACGCCTTTATCTGGCGTACATCCGAGCACTACTGCGCCTGCGTGCACCTCCTCCCTTCCTTTTTCCGGGGTGAAACGGCTTTGCTGCGGCCCGCCAAGCCGCCCGCTTTGCGCAGGCGCGGTCTAGGGCGGAGGCCGGACCCCAGATCGCGGTGTAGGGGGTGTGGCCAGAGGGCTGAAGGGGGCGCTCTCGCGCTGGGTAAGGGGCGTTCTGTAGAGTCGGTTGGGGGCGGGAAGGGGCCGAGAGGGGGTCGGGGGTGGGTATAGGGGTTCATAGGGGAATTGGGGTGCAGGGGCCAGGTAGAGGAATAGATCAGGTGGTCAGACATCCTTGCAGCTCAGGGTCCAACTGGATGAACACTCAGGAGTTTATAGGAAAGCTGAAAATCAGCTGGAGATCAGGAAAGTGAGCAGTGAGGGACCAGAGACCTTTTTCCAGGAAAAGCCAGATTAGAAAGAGAGGGGAGGAAGAAATAGATGAATTGGTGAGAGAGTGGACAGGGCTCACAGAACTTCTTGTGCCCTAGGACACTGAACGGAGGCGGGTGGCTTATGGAAATGGAAGTTGAAGAGATCATAGAAATTGAGGAAAGTTGACACGAAGGCTTTGGATGAGATCGGGAGGTTGGCTTTTCTGCCAGGGTCTAGGTCGATTCTCAGGGAACCTGTAGAACTGAGTGCCCCTCATGTGGCCGCATTCATCTGGGGCCAGGCCTTGGGCCAGCGCTTTGATAGGGAAGGACCCAGGGGTCATGGCTTGGTGGTGTCTGGATGGGTTACCGCAGGGTCTTGCTGAACCGTGGAGAGAACTCTGGAGATTGGGATCGCAGCCCCTGCACTGCACACCTGCTTTCTTACCTCCAACCCAGAATCGCAGAGACTGTAAAACTTTAAAGAAGAGGGTAAAGGCGAAGTCCAGAATTCTACAAGTATGATCAGTAATGCCTAAGACTAATACTAACACTAACACTAATACTAAAACTCCCTTTGCTCTTAGTAAAATCCATCCATGTCATGATGGATGGATTTTATGGTCATAGTTTATCAGGGGCCAGATTGGGTCGAGCAAGTTATCTTAAGGGGTTTCCTGCTTCTTTAGGAAAGTAGGAAAAGAAGAGCTAAGAGTCAGTGGACTTGGCTATTGTTTAAGGATGGTGACTTTGTTATAATAGGGACTCTCTCTTTGGAAGGTGGCCTGAGAATTGAATTGGAGTGTCCTTGTTTCTCCTATTGTCCAGGAGAACATAGACGACTGGAAACAGAATCTAGAGATTTCCAATAATGTGGAGATGTTTCGACCTTCAGGTCAGTGGCGACTTGGCATGGGGACTGCAGGTTGTTCTCCCAGGGAAATTGACTGTCTTTGCGATTCCTTAGATACAACGAGGCTGATTCCTCCATCCCACTTTCAAGCTCCGCCTAGAAAGACTTCCACCTGGGTTTCAAACAATCCCTTGGTTCCATCCCCTGTCCATCAAGATGTCTTGGACAGAAGATCAGACAACCAGAGACCCTCAGGGATATGGGAGCAGGATGTTTCTGGCGATGGGCAAGAACCACAGCGGAGAAGCAGGTAGGGATCATTGTTGGCTATATTCCTGGGCTTGCTCCTAGTGACTCTTCTTCAATAATATAGAGTCCCTATCCTAAGTCAGCCCTTAGTTTTATTTTATTTTGCTTTTTGGGTCACACCTGGCGATGCACAGGGGTTATTCCTGGCCCATGACTCAGGAATTACTCCTGGCGTTGCTCAGGGGACCAAACGCCCTAACTGCTATGCTATCACTGCAGTCCCTAAGTCAGCCCTTAGTTCCATAATTTGTTCCTTTTTCTGTAATCAACATAAAATTACCTATAATGCATATTTTTTTTTCTTTTTGAGTCACACCCGGAAATGCACAGAGGTTATTCCTGGCTCTGCACTCAGGAATTACTCCTGGCAGTGCTCAGCGGACCATATGGGATGCTGGGAATCGAACCTGGGTTGACCAAGTGCAAGGCAAACACCCTACCCTCTGTGCTATGGATCCAGCCCCACAATACCTAATTTTTTTGTTTGTTTTGGGATCACACCCACTTGTGTTCAGGGATCACTCCTGGTGCTTCTCAAACCTGGGTCAGCCACGTGCAAGGCAAGTACCCTACCAGCTGTACTAATTATTAAGACAGTATGCTAGATTCCAGGATGGGGATAAAAAGAATTATATAAGAGACATCCTGATATCAAAGAATTTAAAATCTGAAGGGAGGAGCTGAAGACATAGCACAGCGGGTAGGGCATTTACCTTGCATGTGGCCGACCCGGGTTCGATTTCCAGCATCCCATATGGTCCCCTGAGCACCGCCAGGAGTAACTCCTGAGTGTAGAGCCAGGAGTAACCCCTGAGCATCGCTGGGGGTGACCCAAAAAGCAAAAAAAAAAAAAAAAAAAATCTGAAGGGAGATGCTAGATTGACCAACAGTTAATCCTGATCAGCAGAGTATAAGACAGGTTCAAATTAGGAGTATAAACTGTGCAATGTGGTGATGTGGATTCAGTCCTATAGAATACGTGCCATTGGAGCTGACTGCTGGGTATGGGCCCATGTATTTGGAAAGATGATTCTTTTATTTTTTGTCTGGCAGTTGACTCAGGGTTTACTCCCAACTCTCTGCTCAGCGATTACTCCTGGCAAGCTTGGGGGACTAGATGTGGTGCCAGGGATCAAACTTGGGTGTGTTGTATACAAGGCAAGTGCCCTACTTGCTGTACTATCTCTCTGGCCAAGATTCTATTTTTTTTTCTTTTTTGGGGGGTCACACCTGGTGGTGCACAGGGGTTACTCCTGGTTCATACACTCAGGAATTACTCCTGGCAGTGTTCAGCGGGCCATATGGGATGCTGGGGATTGAACCTGGGTCGGCCTTGTGCAAGGCAAACACCCTACCCGCGGTGCTATCGCTCCAGCCCCTGGCCAAGATTCTTTTTTTTTCTTTTTTTCTTTTCTGGGTCACACCCAGCGATGCTCAGGGGTTATTCCTGGTTATTCCTGGCCCAGCACTCAGGAATTCCTCTTGGCAGTGCTTGGGGGACCATATGGGATGCCTGGGATCAAACCCAGGTCGGCTGCGTGCAAGGCAAATTCCCTACCCGCTGTGTTATCGCTCCAACCCCTGGCCAAGATTCTTATTCTTGATGTTTCATGTGTATCTTTTTCCAAATGTACTGGGCTGTCACTCTGCCATTTTACCTTAGAGGGTTGATTCTCAAGGTTAATTGAACTCTGGAATCACCTGAACAAACTTAGAAATCCTGCTTGTTTTTTTATTTTGGAGCCATATCTCACTGTACTCAGGGCATACTCCTGGCTCTGCACTAACAGAACACTCCTGGTGGGATTGTGGGGAACATATGTGGTACTTGGAATTGAACCTGGTTCGACTGCTTGCAAGGCAAGTGTCCTACCAACTGTACTGTCTTTCTGGTCCCAAACTTAGAAATTCTTAAGCCTGGATCCTACCTCAGAGATTAATTTGATTTCATGTCATGGTTGTGGTCTGGCTGTCAACTAGATAATTAAAAATATTATTATTATTATTATTATTATTTTGTTTGTTTTTGGACCACACCTGTCAGTGCTCAAGGGTTACTCCTAGCTCTGCACTCAGGAATCACTCCTGGAGGTGCTTGGGGCACCTTATGAGATGCTGGGGATCAAATGTATGCCAGCCATGTGCAAGGCAAACATCTTACTTTTCCATACTATTGCTCTGGACCCAATATATTGTTAGGAATATTAGATGTTAGGATTTTTATTTTTGGCTCTTGGGCCACACCTGAGTATGCTCAGTGCTTGTTCCTGACTCTGTGCTTACTGAACCCAGGCCAACTGCATGCAAGATAAGTGCCTTACCTGCTATACCTGTCTCTCTGGCCCCTCATTAGAATTTTTTTTTGTGTGTGTGTGTCTGGGGCATTTACGATGCTCTGGCAGTGTTCAGGAAACCATACAATGCCAGGGATCAAACTTGAATACAAAGCTTGCTTTTTTTCAGCCCATTATTAGGAAATTTCAAATCTGTTAAGGTGACTGGAATAAGAAGGATCGTTTGAGCATCTCTGCTCTAGAATGGGATTGCAGATAGGTCTCCCTTGAACTCCATGGAGTGCTAGAGTGGCTGCCAGGAGATGGAGACACTCTTGCTAGTTTGGTTACCAGGTGCCCTGGGTTCCACCCTCAGCACAGGAGAAAGCCTGTGTTTCTGGGCCTCAGTGAAAGAGCTGTCAAGAGCTGTTATATCCTGGTTTCAACTTGGTATCATAGCAGTGGTTCTCCCAGGACTCTTCACATAGTAGACCTCACACTCAATAAATGCCTTTAACTAGTGCCTGGTCTCATCTCTCTTTTTTTTTTTCTTCCCACTTTTTGTGTCATACCCAGTGATGTTCAGGGGTTACTCCTGGCTCTGCACTCAGGAATTACTCTTGGCAGTGCTTGGGGGACCATATGGGATGCCAGGGATCGAACCAAGTTGGCCACTATCACTGTCACTGTCACTGTCCTCCTGTAGTTCATCAGTTTGCTCGAGTGGGCCCAGTAACACTGTGAGACTTGTTGTTACTGTGTTTGGCATATCAAATATGTCACGAGGAGCTTGCCAGGCTTTGCTGTGTGGGCGAGATATTCTTGGTAGCTTGCTGGGCTCTCCGAGAGGGGTGGAGGAATCGAACTCGGGTTGGCCGTGTCTGTGTTGGCCATGTGCCAGACAAACACCCTACCCGCTGTGCTATTGCTCCAGCCCCTAGCCTCATCTCTTGTTAGTGAAACCCATGAGCTCTCACCATGCCACCTTCCAACTTCTAGACCTTAAATCACAATCCAAAGGTCTGCATGATCTTCCAGCTCCTCTAGTTTGAAATGTGTGGCAGGTACAGTTGCCTATATCTAGCTCTCACCTGAGAACATGTTCCATCAGTCAGCTACTCTGTAGGTTGTGTGAACCCAGACAGGACTTAATATAAATGCAGATAACCCAAGAGCTCAGCCTTTATCTCCCCGAATGGGAATGGAGGGACCCTTTTTTTCTGTTTCCAAGTATGCCCTTCGTCCCCTTTCTAGATCTTAACCTGTGCCCATCTGTTTTTGCAGGACCATGGATCTGCAGGGGTCTCATGCCCTGAGCCAGCAGGCCGAGCTGATCTCTAGGCAGTTGCAAGAGCTGCGACGACTGGAGGATGAAGTTCGGGTCCTTCAAGAATCCTCATTGCAGCAGAAATTGAGGCTGGAGGCCCAGTCCTTGGAGCTGGAGGCTCTGGCGCGGGCAGAGAAGGCTGGCCGGGTGGAAGCTGAAGGCTTGAGGGCTGCGTTAGCTGGGGCTGAGGTTGTCCGGAAGAATCTGGAAGAGGGAAGTCAGCGGGAGCTGGAGGAGGTGCAGAGGCTGCACCGAGAGCAGGTGAATGCGGGGTGGGAAGATTCACCTTCACAGAGGTGAGCTGGGCAACAGCTTTCGCAGAACATGGGTATCACAAGGATAGTGGTTATGAGATGTTGGGTAAAATCAATTAAATAGGAGACCTTGGACCAAGGAGATAGCTCAATAGGCTGGTGCAATGCTATGCATGTGTAAGCCCCAGATTTGATCCCCAATTCTGAGCAGCACTACAGGAATATCCCCAAGAGCAAATCCTGAGTCGGGAGTAGCCCCTCTGACTAGGTCTCTCAAACTGGCAAAACAGACAAAATGGGTGACCTTGAAAATGGAACACTTGGATATTGGGTTCCCATCCAGACTGCACCTTTCCCTGGATTCAGGTGGCTTCCTATGACTTGAGATGTTTTTTCTCTTCTTCTGGTCCCCATATCATCTGGGAGCACTGGGAAGCGGGAGAGTGTGGTGATAGAGGGTTTCTAACTCAGATTGGAAAGGAGGGTTCAGTTGAACTGTTATTTCTCTGCCATTATTTTTTTGGGGGTGAGGGGTGGAGGGTGGGTATACGACCACACTTGGTGGTGCTTAGGGCTTACTCCTGGCTCTGCACTCAGGAATCACTATCGCAGGCTCAGGGTGTCACATGGAATGCCAGGCATTAAAACTGGGTAGGCTGCATGTAAGGCAAGCACCCTACCCTCTGTACTGTCGCTCTGGCCCCTACGCAGCCATTCTTGAGGTAGCTGGGGCCCGGGGCGAGTGATCCTCCTGTTCCCTGTCCTCAAGGGTGCAGCCTGCAGCCCTGTGGGGGTACACATTCAGCTGGGTTCAATCCCAGAGGCTCCGCTGCAGATCTGGAGTGTGCCATGAAGGATGGGGAAGGGTTTATGCAAAGGCCACACTGAAAGCAAGTAGGGGTACTGTCCTTTATCACCCTGGAATGACTGAGAATTCAGAGCCAGTGAAGAAAAAATGGATACACTGAGTTTATAGTATTAACTTTTGAAATGACAAAGGGGAAATTAGGGACAAACAACTAGAGAAGTATATTTATATAGTTCATATTACAGGAAAGGGTTTCATTCTTTTGTTTTTTGAGGTCACACCTGGCAATGCTCATGGCTTGTTCCTGGCTCTGTGCACAGGGATCAGTTCAGGGGCCATATGGGGGTGCTGGGGCCGGAGCGATAGTACAGCGAGTAGGGTGTCTGCCTTGCATGAGGCTGACCCAGGTTCGATTCCCAGGATCCCATTTGGTCCCCTGAACACTGCCGGGAATGTTCCTGAGTGCAGAGCCAGGAACAACCCTTGAGCATCTCTGGGTGTGATCCAAAAAAAGCCAAAGAAACACCCAATCATATGGGGTGCCGGGGATTGAACCCAGGTCATGTCTATCCCACTGTACCATATCTCTGGCCCAGGGCTTCTATTTAGTACCTAATCTATACCTGGAAATTGATAAGGAAATGATTGAAGTTCAGTCAGAAAATGGTCAAAGGAGATAATTCATAGAAAGATATAATAGGCCTTTAGATTCATGAAAGCTTTGATGACAAATAAGTGGACATTTGGGCCTGAGCAATAGTATAGTAGATAGGGTGCTTGCTTTGCATGTAGCATAGCTGATTCCAATCCCCAACTCCCCCGCCCCCATGTGGTCCTCTTCAGCACCAGATGTGGCCCCAAAATAAAGCAATCAAAGAAGTGGACATTGGAAGAATACTTATTGGGGAAGGTGGCCAGAGGGGCTCTAGGTGGTGGTCTGGAGTGCGAGGCTGGAATGTTCGGAACATTGTGCTTTATCTTAGGAGCAGTGACTAACTGCTGAAAGAGTTTATTTCATTTTATTTTGTTGAACATTTTTTTCTTTTTTGGCTGAAAGATTTTAGACAGAAATGATGATATATACATATATGTAGTTTTTTCCTAAAGGGGGTGTTTTTGTCATTTATGTTCCTGAAATGTCACTGACAATTGTGCTAGAGGGGGTCGCATGGGAGATGACACTCCATGGACTGCCCCATAGTACCTTAAATATCTCCTGATATCCTCCCCGCTATCTGAGATACCATGAGAAGTTCCTGCCTGCCAGAACTTTCTTTTGCAAAGTAGTCAACCCCTCATAAGTCAGGCCTTTTTTTTTTTTTTTTCCCTTTTTGGTCACACCTGGCGATGCACAGGGGTTTTACTCATGGTGATGCTCAAGGGACCATATGGGATGCTGGGAATCAAACTAGGGTCGGCCACATGCAAGGCAAATGCCCTACCCACTGTACTGTTGTTCCAGCCCCATAGAAGTCAGACCTTTTGAGAGGATAGTAAGTGCTCAAAGGATGTAAGCACGTGATGAGACAGAGTGCTTTACTCTGGGAGGCGTGTCTGATGGGACCTGAGGAGTTAGGGAAGCTGGGCCTTCAGGGAAACTCCACAGTGGGAAAGAGCATGATATTTGGGGTGAAAGAAGGAGGGCGGAGAGCTGGGGCATGTTGGCACTCAGAGGGCAGCAGGAGATGGGCTGGGGGGAGTGGGCAGAGGCCAAGGGAATATGGTGGGTTTGTTCTCAGCACCAACCACCCGAGGGGATGGGTGCTGCCCGGGCCAGAGAGAACGCTAACTCCTTTGGGTTGGTGCCAGTGCAGGAGAGATGCAAGATAATGTTTTGTGGGGACACCTGGCAAAGTCGGTGATGAACTGAAGGATGATGGTACGAGTGAGGCACTCAGGGTACGCTTCATTTGCCAGGCCCGGTTGGGTGATACGTTGGCCTGGTGTCAAAAGTCACAAATTGGGAACAGGGGCCAGGCTGGAGCAGGAGGGTTTGGAAAGCTCAATGTGGGGTTCACGGAACTGTCTCTTCTCTGCACAGCTCTCCTCCCTGACGCAAGCTCACCAGGAGGCGCTTTCCTGTTTGAACAACAAAGCTGAAAGCCTGGAGAAGTCTCTGAACAGTCTGGAAGCCAGGAGGGCTGCAGAAGCCAGTGAGCTGTCCGCTGCCCAGAAAGAGGCCGAGCTGCTGAGGAAGCAGCTGAGGTAAGTGGGAGTTGGCTGAGGGAAGCCCAGCACTGATGGGAGAGGCAGGTCTCCAGGGCGCCCCACTGATGGCCGCCCTATCCCAACCCCAACGCTAGCAAGACTCAAGAAGATTTGGAGGCTCAGGTGACCTTGGTTGAGAAACTAAGGAGATACGTCGGGGATCATGTCCCTCCCGAGGTCCAAAGCCAGTCGTGGGAATCGGAACGCCAGGAGCTTCTGGAAACTATGCAGGTGAGAGTGTGAGAGGGCTGGGTTGGGGTCATGGAGAGGCCTCAGGGACAAGAGACCAGGACAAGGAGACAGCGCAGACTGGGGTGCAGGATAGCCTTGCGGAGATGGCCAGGCGTGGACCCCTCCTGAGGCCAGGTTCCCCCTCCCTCTCCCTCAGCACTTGCAGGAGGACCGGGACGGCCTGCGCACCACTGCCGAGCTGCTGCAGGTACGCGTGGAGAGTCTCCTGCACATCCTCTCCATACAGGAGGAGGAGCTGGCCCGGAAGGTAGGCAACCCCCCTACCCTCCCTGCCCGCCTCCTGGGCGCCTGCCCAAGGACCTCACTGTCCTTTTGCTGTCACTGAAGTGGCTTGGGCAGGGCAGAGGGAGAATTAGATACCTCCCGCCTCCGCTCTTTACCCCTTAGATACCCCACACGCCGGTCTTTTCTCTACCCCTAAACCTCCAGGTTCAGCCTTCTGATACCCTGGAGCCCGACTTCACCAGGAAGTGCCAGTCTCTGCTGAAGAACTGGCGGGAGAAGGTGTTTGCCCTCATGGTGCAGCTGAAGGCCCAGGAGCTGGAGCACAGGGCCCACGTGCAGCAGCTGAAGGCGCAGGTCACTTGGCGGCTGCTCCCCTCATCTCCCCCCACTCCTTGCTCTTTTTTTTCTTTTCTTGGCTACTCACACGGTTCTCAGGGGAGCCAGGGATGTAACTGGCATCTCCTGTGTGCAAATCATACACTCAGTCCTTTGAGTCATCTTCTGTCCCTAACTCCTTGCTCTTCATGTAGTCATAACACTTATTTGGAGGTTGGCAACATAGAGAGTGGTACTGAGGGCTTATTCCTCACTCTGACTCAGGGATCACTCCCGACAGGCTCAGGGGAGCATATGGGATGCGGGGGATTGAACCTTGGGTTGGCCACGTGGAGGGCAAGTGCCCTACGCACTGTGCTATCGCTCCAGTCTCTTTTTTTTTTGGCTTTTTTGGGTCACACCTGGTGATGCACAGGGGTTACTCCTGGCTCTGCACTCAGGAATTACTCCTGGTGGTGCTCAGGGGACCATATGGGATGCCGGGGATCGAACCTGGGTCAACCGCATGCGAGACAAACGCCCTCCCTGCTGTGCTGTAACTTCAGCCTGCAACTCCAGTCCCTCTTTATTGAACTATATTTAAATTGATTTTCTTCTCTTACCAGGGATTTGGGACCATGGGGCGATCAGGATCACCTTGGTGCATGTGAAGCACTGAGGATGGAGTTTGGGATCTCAAACTTGCCCTGGGCGTTTCCCAAGCCGCCAAGCTGGGTCCTTTCATGCTGGGGATCCCTAATAATTACAGGGCTGTCAGGATCACCTCAGCACTTGTGGGTGGTGCTGGGGTTTGAACTCTTGGCCTGGTAAATGCTCTCTAAGCCTCTGAACTATTTTTCAGACTTCTAGAGTTCTATATTTAATTTAATTTATTTATTTTGCTTTTTGGATCACACCTGGTGATGCACAGGGGTTACTCCTGGCTCTGCACTTAGGAATTACTCCTGGCAGTGTTCAGGGGACCATATGGGATGCTGGGAATTGAACCCGGTCGGTCGGCTGCATGCAAAGCAAACGCCCTACCCACTGTGCTATCCTCCAGCCCCTCTATTTTTTGTTTTGCTTTTGGGCCACACCTGGTGGTACTTAGGGCATAAGCCTGACTCTGCACTCAGGAATCATTCCTGATGGCCTTGGGAAACCATATCAAGTGCCGGGGATTGAACCCAGGTTGGCCACGTGCAAGGCATGTACCATTGCTCTGTTCCAAGTTCTATACTTTAAAACCAATGGGAGCTGGGGAGGTGTCTCAATAGGCTGCAGCTCATGCTTTGCATGCAGGAGGCCCAGGTGTTTTATTTATTTATTTTTTCTTTTTGGGTCACACCCAGTGATGCACAGGGATTCCTTCTGGCTCTGCACTCAGAAATTACTCTTGGCAGTGCTCAAGGGACCACATGGGATGCTGGGGATCGAATTCGGATCAGCCGCATGCAAGGCAAACACCCTACCTGCTGTACTATAGCTCCAGCCCCCAGGAAGCCCAGGTTTGATCCCCAGTGCCACATGTCCCTCCAGCATGACTGGAAGCAACCTCTGAGTATTGAATGATGAGTGACTCCTGAGCACTGCCAGATATGGCCTCTAAAAAAGACAAAAAAAACTCAACAAAACCCAGAAAAAAAAATCCCCCCAAACCCAAAAGTAGTGAGAAAGATAGTACAGCACATAAGGCCTTGCACCTGGCTGACCTGGGTTCAGTCCCCAGCATTCCATATGGTCCCCTGAGCACTGCCAGAAATTATTTCTTAGTGAAGAGCCAGGCATAATGCCCGAGCATATCTGGATGTGGCCTCAAAACCAAAAACCAAGACCAAACAAAACCCCCCAAAAACCTAAAATAAAACAAATAGGTCAGGAATGTGGCCCAGGGAGTAGAAGATAAATCTTGAATGTGTGAGGCCTTGGGTTTGATTCACCATACCACAAGAAGTGAAGAGATTGGAGTGATAGTCCAGCGGGTAGAGCACTGTCTTTCACTCAGCCAACCTTGATTTGATCCCTGGCAACAAGCCCAAATATTTAACTTGGCTGCGATATGATATGGGGATTGTTTGCCTGTTGCACTGACCACCAGGGGGCGCGCACTTCACTTGCTACTCATCAGGGTAAAGGTAAAGGTAAAGGCCCTCCCGTTGATCGTCGATTTGCTCGAGCGGGCCCAGTAACGTCTCCATTGGAGACTTTGTTGTTACTGTGTCTGGCATATCGAATACTCTCGGTAGCTTGCCGGGCTCTCCGAGAGGGGCGGAGGAATTGAACTCGGGTCGGCCATGTTGGCCGCTTGTAAGGCGAACGCCCTACCCACTGTGCTATCGCTCATCAGGGTATGCCTGGCATTACTGCTATCTCCCCCATCCCCCTTCTTTTCAGGGGGCTTTGGGGGGTAGGGGCATAGCCAGTAGTGCTCAGGGCTTGCTCTGGGCTCTGAGCTCAGGATCTCTCCTGGCATTGCTCTGGAACCTTATGGGGTGCTGGAGATTGAACCCGGCTCGTTTGTGTGTGAGGCTAACCCCCCTACCCTCTCAGCCTGGCAGGGCTGGTATTTCAGGTGGGAATATGGGCTGCTGTCAGGAGCTGGATTCACAGCCTCACATGCAAATGGAAACACTACTCCAAGCCATATCTCTGGCCCCCATACATTACTTTCCCCCTTTTTTCTGGACACCCAGTGGTACTCGGGGTGTTCCTGGCTCTGTGTCCAGCAGAGACTGTTGGCAGTGATGGGGAATCATACCGGTGCTGGGGATGGAACCAGTGTTGGCCACATGCCAGGCAAGCTCCTTAACCCCCGTACTGTCTGTCTAGCTCCCCTAAGTCTTTTTTGAGTGATTATCACATAGTGGAAGCACAGCTGGAACCAGGAGGCTAGTGTTTGTTCTCATGGAGCTTCGCCCTGGAGCAGGGGCATAGCAGGCCGGCCAACAGTGTCCAGCAGAGCTGTCTGCAAACAACAGGATGGGGGATGTAGGGGTCGCACAGACAGCTCAGTGAGCTGAGTGCATGCTCTGTAAGTGGGAGACCTGGCTTCAGTCCCTGGCACTGCATGGTCCCCCAGGCACCACGAGGTGCATCACCAGGCACCAAGCTGGTAGCAGCTCCCGAGCACCACAGAAGATGCCCCAGACCAAACTTCCTACCCTACAGCAAAGGAAAGGAAAAGGGAAAAGATAATGGGCCAGCCTGACATACAGAACGGCCCCTACGCAGTTGAGTGTCCAAAGATAGGTGGATTGGGTTGAGTGTGGCTTTTTTGTGCTGTTCAATAATTGGAGCACATGGAACCTGCTTCTGGAGGGAAATGTGGATCCAGACGTTGCCCTTGGCTAGAGATACTCTTTTTTTCCCCCCTTTTTGATTCACACTCAGCGATGCACAGGGGTTAATCCTGGCTCTGCACTCAGGAATTATTCCTGGCAGTGCTCAGGGGACCATCTGGGATGCTGGGAATCGAACCTGAGTTGGCCACGTGCAAGGCAAACTCCCTACCCACTGTGCTATTGCTCCAGCCCCCTGGTCTGCCACGCTAGTCTCAGACTTCTCTTGCCCCAGGTGGCAGAGCTCCAGGAGAGAACTGCCTCCCAGAGCCAGGAGCAGGCCATCCTGCAGCACTCCCTGAAGGACAGAGCCACCGAGGCCGAAGTGGAGCGGCTGGGCGCCAAGGTCGGTGCCAGAGGTGGTCCCTCGGGGGTGGGATGGGCGGCAGGGGAACCCGGGCAGAGCATGCGTCCCTCGCAGACCCTGCAGGTGGAGCTGACTCGGGCCCAGGAGGCTGGACGCCGGCACAAGCAGCAGACGGCAGAGACCGAGGAGCAGCTGAAGCTTGTGGCCAACACTGTGGTCAGGTATGTGAGCTGGAGCCGAGGGGAGAGAGTCCTGCTTCCTCGGCTTCCCTGCCAACTCAGAGATGACAAGTGTCAGGCAGAAAGGGGTGGGAAGCCAGCAGGTGAGTGTGCAGGGCTCCTGGTGTTCAGTCTTGGAATGTCCCCAGGCTTTCTGTTTTCCTGGGACCCTGTTTTCACATTCATGCCACAGGTGTGACCCCCTAGGGTGTGGGGCCGGGCTTCCTCCCACTTGGCAGCAACTTGAACTAAGTAGGATGGCCACCCTCAGAGTCGCTCTGGGATGGGGGTGCTGACACTTGGTCTTTAGTCATTTAACGTTTTAGAGGGTTGGAGCACAGGCTTTATGTGCAGGAGCCCTCAGTTGGTACTGTGAGCTCTGCTGAGTATGATGCCCAAATGAAAATAGACACAATTTAAAGGGCATGGCCTGTTTCTTTGTAAACAAATGTAATCTCTGTGTTAAATTATACACCTACTGTTGTAACAGTGATTCTAACATAGTTGCCACTTTCCTGCTAGCCTGTGTCTCTCAATGTCAACTTTTTAGGTGGTTCCTTCTGACATGTTATATAACCTATGGAATGTGCCCTCAGGGACTGACAGATACTGTAGGGCTCTCGCCTTACACTAGGCTATTTTAGTTCAATCCCCAGCATCACATGTGGTTCCTGGTCCCTCCAGGAGTGATCTCAGAGAGCAGAGCAAGGAGTAAATCACTGTGTGTGACTCCCAAAACAAAACAAACAAAAAGAAGACTCTCAGGAGAAGCTTAAACTTTGAGCTGGTAATGCCCTCCTCAGACTCAGATGTTGGGCTACCACAGCCCTGGGGGTGGGGTTCGTCACAGTGCTCCACTGTCCCCCCACTCTGTAAAAGCTGGCCATGTCTTGAGGCTGTGCTTGCTGGCACGCTCAACCTCTCTGGTTTAAAGAGGCTGTGATGCAGCTGGGTCCTTGCCCACCATCCTCTCCACTGAATTTGTACTTATGCACTCACTGAAAAAACAAAAAAAATGAAAGTGATGAGACCTGCCTGGGATTAGAGACTAGTTTTGAGGAGGTACCGTCTGGAAGCTGTATGTGGACCAGGTTCTACTTTGGTGCAGGGACATACCTGACATGGTTCTTGTTTATGGTTTATTGCTGAAGAGCCCACCAGGATTCAAATAATCCACTTTATGGGTTACTGCCAGGTGTGTGGATGAATGATCTTTACCTGTCGCTCTAGGGACTGCTGTTCGTTTACAGGTATGGAAAGCTTGAAAACCACAACTCTAAGCCAGGACTCCCCTGCCCCCCCCATTTTTTTTTTTGTTGTTTGTTTGTTTTCTTTTTGGGTCACACCCGGTGATGCACCGGGGTTCCTCTTGGCTCTGTACTCAGGAGTTACTCCTGGCGGTGCTCAGGGGACCATATGGGATGCTGGGAATCGAACCTGGGTGGGCCGCGTGCAAGGCAAATGCCCTGCCCGCTGTGCTATCGCTCCAGCCCGTTTGTTTTCTTTTGAGCGATATTCACCAGTGCTCAGGGCTTGCTTCTAGCTCTGCACTCAGGAATTACTCCTGACAGTGCTTGGGGGACCATATGAGCGATGGTTCAGTCTGCAAAGCAAACTCCCCGACTGCTGCGCTATCTATCCAGTCCCCAGGGATGCTACTGCTGCTTTTCTTTTTCCTCGACCTCTCCCGCCCCTCTCCTCTCCCTCCCTCCTCCTCCCGCCCTCCTTCTCCTCCTCCTCCTCCTGCTCCTCTTCTTCCTCCTCCTTTCCCTTCCTTCCTTCCTTCCTTCCTTTTTTTTTTGTTTGTTTCTGGGCCACACCCAGGGTACTCAGGGTTCACTCCTGACTCTGCACTCAGGGTTCAATCCTGGTGGGCTTGGGGGACCATGTGTGGTACCAGGGATCAAACCTGGCTTGGCCACGTGCAAGGCAAGTGCCCTGCCTGCTGTACTCCAACCCCAACTCCAACCCCAGGCTTCTTAAACTGCTCACAACCCCTTTTGCCCTAGAAAAATTTTTAAACATAAAATATATTTTACTTGGTCTCCTGCACAAGTAATTCCAAAGAGTGAGAAGCGGGAGAATGTAGGAGTACTGCAGTTTATTTAGCCACAGCTTAAACTGGCTCGAGCTGTCATGAACTCCAAATTTTTTTTGTTCTTTTTTTTTGGGGGGGGGGGTGGAGACCACACTCCGTGGTGCTCATTAGTCCTGGCCCAGGGGTCACTCCTGGAAGGGCTGGCAGGGGTCACTCCTGGAAGGGCTGGGAGATCATATGTGGTGCCCCAGATCAGACCTGGGTTGGCCGCATGCAGGGCAAGCGCCCCACCCGCTGTACTGTCTTTCCAGACCCTCCATATTCTCCTTGCTTACACTGTCCCCTGCCTGTCAGACGCGGTCTGCGGTGAGCCCCACCTGACAAAGCGTTACATGAGTCAGGCTATGTAGGTATATAAAATCGGTACACAGGTCAAGCATTTACTCATAATAAATCATTAGGAAACGTTTGTTTTTGAAAGTTACGTGGTCCCACATGGCCACAGTTTAAGAAGCTGGGCCCTTAGGTGACTTAGAAACGTCCTAATTAAGAGGCGGCTGGGATGGGCGGTGCCTGCGCAGACCACGACCACGCTGAGATGGTCGGGTGCGTCTGAGACGCCTCCCAGCCTGGGCCGCCCTCTGGCTCCTGTTGGCGGGCTTGGATCTGTTGCTCCCGCCCTGCCCAGGCTACTGCTCTTGCATTTAGGTTTCTTGTTTACATGAACCACGCAGCGGTGGGCACAGCCAGATGAGACCAGCCTTCCCAGCTGGGTAGGTAACTACTGCTGCTGAGGAATCAGCTGCTCAGCTGTTGGAAAAGACTCAATGTCTTAGAGTGTTCTCAGAGCTCAGGGCTATTTAAAAATACAACGGACACCCTGGGCTATGGTCTCCCCAACCCCCCAGCAAGGACTACCAGGAGATCCTCCAAAACCTGGATGTGGGCACACCCCGCTTTACATCACTCACTTTAGCCCCTGTGGAGTTTTTATTTGTGTGTGTGGTTCTTGGAGCAAACCCAGGACTTAATGCTTGCAAGGCCAGTGCGTTCCACCGAGCCACATCCCTGGTGCCCCTCCCCATAGAGATTTTACAGCGCCCTTTGCTGTGTCAGGCATTTGGGTCCAGATGGGGCATGACCCCATGAAGCCCTGATTGGTTTTACTTCAGGGCTGTTATTAAAGACTCTGATTGCTCAGATCCAAATGAGAAACTACTGTAATTGGGGCCCAGGAATGGCTTTGGTTTTTGTACAAGCAACTGGATTGTTTTTATTTTTCACTTATTTTATTTACCAAAATATTTGATTTACACCTGGTATTTCTGGGGGCTGCTGCTGGCTCAGTGCTCAGGGGTCATTCTTGGAAATACTTAGGGGACGCTGTGGTGGTGAGGATGGAATACAGGCCTCCTTCCAGTAAAGCATGGTCTTCAACCCTTTGAGCCACGTGTCCAGCCCTGGATCATTTTATCTGACAGTCACTGAAGGGCTTAGTTTCTCAGATTGGCCTCATTGATAGATGAGGAGCTTGGGCATGTCTGGCAGCAGGGGCTGGGGGTGGGGGGTGGGGTGCATGGATGCTTCTCTTCCTAGCCCAGACCCCTTCCCTCTCTTCCCCACGTGCAGAGCCACACGGGAGAGAGGAGCAGGCTGGGTGGTAGAGCGGGGCGGGAGGGACCGTGACCTGAGCCTTCTCCAGCTTCCAGACCTGGCTGCAGAGCACCGTGGCCGAGGTGGATCTGGCCCTCGCGCGACTGCCCAGCCTCAGCAACCGAATCAGCTTCGCTGTTCGCAAGGTCCACACCATCCAGGGTGGGTAGGGTGAGGCCAGGTGCCTGCATGTCTCCACCAGTTCTCTCTGTGCCATCTGTCCCCCCCCCACTCCCCAACCCCCCGCACCCCCGCTTTCACTCCCAGCATCTTCTGCCTTATTTCCTCAGCCTCCTCCTTTCCTGTCAAACTCAGCACCGCGTCTGTCTTTTCTTTCCCAGGGCTGATGGCTCGAAAACTGGCCCTTGTTCAGCTGCGCCAGGAGAGGGAGAGTGAGGAGAGGTGAATTTGGGGGGCACTTTGGGGTGGATCAGGGGAGGAGGTGCAGGGTGTGAGGTGTTGGTTGCTGGGACCCCAGGCAGTGAAGACTGAGGTGGGATGGGGGTCGGGCAGCGGGGTGATTTCCCCCACCTCCGCCCCCGACTCTGTTTTTCTTCCCTATCTCAGCTGCCCCCCACCCCCACCAGACGCAGCCATGAGCCAGGAGTTGGAGCAGCTGCGGGAAGAACGGAACCGGCTGGATGCTGAGCTGCAGCTGAGTGCCCACATCATCCAGCAGGAAGTGGGCCGGGCGCGGCAGCAAGGTGCCGAAGCTTGAGCTACTGTGTGTGCGCGTGCGTGTGTGTGCATGCGTGTGTGCACGTGCCTGTGTGTATGTGCGCACGCGTGCGTGTGTGTGCGTGTGTATGTGTGTGCGCATGCGTGCGTGCATGCATGCGCGTGTATGCGTGTGCATGTGTGCATGCGTGTGTGTATGTGTGCATGTGTGGGTGTGCACAAGTGTGCACGTGTGTATGTGTGTGTGTGCACGTGTATGTGTGTGTTTGAGGGGAAGAGCCCTGTGTGAACTCCATCTCTTCCAGGGGAGGCTGAGCGGATGCAGCTAAGCGAGGTGGCCCAGCAGCTGGAGCAGGAGCTGCAGCGCACGCAGGAGTCCCTGGTGAACGTGGGGCTGCAGCTGGAAGCTGCGCGCCAGGGCCAGCAGGAGAGCACGGAGGAGGCTGCCAGTCTGCGGCGGGAGCTGACGCAGCAGCAGGAGATCTACGGACAAGGTGGGTGAGAAGGGAAGCGGGTCTGCCCGGGGAGGGTGCCTGGGGAGCACAGCCGGATCCACACTGCCCACCTGCATCTTCACCCCAGCGCTGCAGGAGAAGGTGGCGGAGGTGGAGACGCGGCTGCGCGAGCAGCTGTTGGAAACGGAGAGAAGACTGAATGAGGCCCGGCGGGAACACGCCAAGGCGGGTGAGCCGCGCTGGGGCACAGGGGCTTCCACCGAGGGCACTGCCACCCAGGGGTTTGTCGGAGCCTGTTTGGATGCCTACAAGGCGTGACGTTACCACACTGACACCGATGATGTCTCAGGTGAACAAATCCTTATTGCCAAGCCCCAGACGGGCCCCCACAAACTGCTGCTGTTGCCGCCCTGACTTGCGCGCTTTTCCTCCCCCTCCCACCCCTCCCCTGCTGCTGTGATGGTGGGTGGCAGGCTCTCCCCATGCCAGTGCTCGAGGGCTCACGGCAAAGTCTGTGGTGCTCGCACACTCACCGCTGTGCTCCCTCACTGGTGCTCACGCTGATTTAGTTGCGTTGCTTGTCCCTGTGTACACGGGGTCACACTCCTCTTTAGTTGTGGTGTTTGCGTATATTCTGGTATTGCTGGGGGCGGGGAAGGTCTCGTACACCTGCCTGCTGGGGCTCGCACTTCCTGGCAGTGGCGGTCACACCTATTTGAAGGGGGATACTTGCCAGGGGTTGCACCCCATTTAGTTGCAGTGTTTGCACGTCTTGCTGTGGTGTGGCTGGGAATTGTGACTCTGGACCACACAGAGACCATGCCCTGCACAGGCAGCAGCACCGGGGCTTGAACTCGTGGCCTCTGCCCTCAACTCAAAAGAAAACTTTTTAAACACTTAGACGAGTTACGCTTTCTCTCACTGGGTGCAACAGTCACCAACTTCTGCCGCGCCTGCTCTCACATATAATCTGTATACATTGTTTTGAATCACTTAAAGTTGTAGGGCTGGGTTTTGGAGAGAGACATAGCCCAGTGGGTAAGGCACTTGCCTCGCATGCAACCGACCCAGGTTTGATCAACACCATGTGTGGTCCCCTGAGTACCACCAATGGTGATCCCTGAATGCAGAGCCAGGAGTAAGCCCTAAAAGCTTCACTGGGTGTCGGACCACGGAAATGGCTCAGGACTGGAGCACATGCTTCGGTTGCAGGTGCCCTACGCAGTCCCCAGCACCACATAATCACCTCCCGTAGTAAGTTGCAGACATGACCCTTCAGCAATATTGTTTACAAAGAGGAAATTGTTACGTATTTATTGATTTATTGACTTTTGGGTCATACTTGGCGATGCTCAAGGGTTACTCTTTTTTTTTTTTTTTTGCTTTTTGGATCACACCTGGCGATGCACAGGAGTTACTCCTGGCTTTGCACTCAGAAGTTACTCCTGGTGGTGCTCACGGGATATTCCCAGCCCCCATATGGGATGCTGGGGATCCAACCTGGGTCGACTGTGTGCAAGGCTAACGCCCTTTGCACTGTAAATTATCGCTCCAGCCCCATAGGGGTTACTCTTGACTCTACACTGAGGGATGATTCCTGGTGGTTCTTGGGGACCATATGGAGTGCCGGGAATCAAACCCAGGTTGGCTGTGTGCAAGGCAGAAGCCCTCCCTGCTCTGCTCCGTGCCTACTGTTGCTCTGCCCACCGTCATGTATTTTTATAATCTCGTGCCATTGCCACACTTTGAGAAAGTGAACATGGGGCCAGAGAGATAGTACAGGGCTTACGGGGCTTTACCTTGCACACGGCTGACTCTGGTTCCATCCTTGGCACTGCATAGGGTCTCCTGAGCACAGAGTCAGGAGTACACCCGGAGCACCGCCATTGTGGCTCTACCTCCTCTCCCTGTCCTCCCCCCTCCGAAAAAGGGAGGGAGAAGTGACCGTTATGAACACAACGCTTCAGCCTGTTGTCAGGTTTTTCCCTAGGGAATTCTGGGAAAGTTCAGGAAGGGGAAGGTGCCTTGGGCCTACAGATTCATGCATGGATCCTAAAACATCCAGACCCCCGTCAGCCCTACCCCCTACCAACTCCCGTGTAAAAGAAACGGAGCTCCAGAGTTGGCGACCCAGCGTGACTGCCCTCGCTCCAGTCACCCTTTGCTGGTGCCTCACTGCCCCGGGGTGCCCACTCCTCACCCCTGTGCTGGTTCCCCCATCCCCTGCAGTGGTCACCTTGCGCCAGATGCAGCGCAAAGCCGCGCGGGAAAAGGAGCGGAATCAGGAGCTCCGGCGCCTGCACGACGAGGCCCAGAAGGAGGAGGGGCTGCGACTGACCCAGCGTGTGCAGGAGCTGGAGAAGGACAAGAACATCATGCTGGTAGGGGACTGCAGAGAGTGTTTTTCTGTATTCTCAGTTTTGGTTTTACCTCTGGAAGATGATGGGTGCTGGACCCTCCTCCTGGCCCTTGGGGGGGACTGAGGCGGGGGCAGAGGCTCTGCCTGGGCCAGGAGGCCTTTAACCCTCTCCTTCCCAGGCCACCTTGCAGCAGGAGGGTCTCCTCTCCCATTACAAGCAGCAGCGACTGTTGGCGGTTCTTCCATCCCTCCTGGACAAGGGGCCGCCCCCGGAGCCCAGCCCCGCGCCCCTGCGGCCTTCAGCGTCTGTTCCTTCAGCTGCAACACTCTACACCAGAGAGTCCATAAGAGGTAACGGTCCGAGTGGGAAGGGGTAGGTGGGCAGGGGCTCCAGCCTCTGCCCCAGGGACCAGGATGCAGGCTGCTGTCCCGTGGCCCCGAGAACCCTCTTTTTATCTTTTGTGGGGAGGGCATACCTGGCGATTCAGGGGTTACTGCTGGCTCTGCACTCAGGAGTTACTCCTGGCGGTGCTCGGGGGACTATATGGGATGCCGAGGATCGAACCTGGGTCGGCCATGTGCAAGGCAAATGCCCTACCCACTGTACTATCACTCCAGCCACTCTTTTTTTTTCATTTTTTTTTCAATGTTGGGACCCCACCAGGTAGTGCTAAGGGGTGACTCCCAGGTCAGTGTCTGGGGCCCCTCTTGGTGGTGCTCAGGAGAACAGTGATGAGAATGCCCGTGTGCTCTCTCCAGCCTCCATATCACCTGATTTCACAGCCTTCTTCCCAGTCTCCCTCACCCACTGTACAGCCTTGTTGCTCTCCCAGCAGCCCTTTCTCTGTCAGACCCATCCGGGGCTTCTTTCCCAGGATCCCTGTCCGTCCTGCTCGATGACCTGCAGGGCCTGAGTGAGGCCATTTCCAAGGAGGAAGCCATTTCTCAGGGAGACAACCAGAACTCCTCTGCTCCGCCGTGCCACTGACAGCTAGACTTCAAGGGCAGCCGGAGGACCACAGAGAAGTGGGTGGGGGTTTCCGGGGGCCAGACGCCCTGCTTCCCTCTCAGGCCCAGCAATCACCAACGTGCCTGTGAAATCTGTGACTCAATAAAGACTAGTAGTAGCGACTAACTGGAATTTTCATCTCTGACTACAAGGGAATCTCCCCGCAGACGCCTCTTCCTGGATATCCGGGAAGTGGTCCTATACACAGTTCTTTCTCTAGAAGGTTCTTTTTGCAACCCCCTTTCTAGAATTCTTGGGATTTTTTTTCTCTTTTTTTTCTGAGAAGCTGTAGGTTTTCTGTATTCTCAGTTTTGGTTTTATCTCTGAAAGATGATGAATGCTGGACCAAACACTCCCTCTCTCAGTGGGCATTTCAGCAGTGGGACCCGGGGACAGGTACGTCACAGCTCCTGGGTCCCAGGGATGTCCTGACAGATCCTTGCTGGTGGGAAAGACAGAGGACACATACCTAAGTGAGCGAGTAGGAACATTTAAGTAGTCTATGCAGAGAATTGCTAGTAATGGGCAGAAATGGATTATGGGGCGGGGTGGCAGTAGACAGAGTGACAGGACCAGTGTCTCAGAAGGGCCATGGAGTGGGCAGCATACAGGCCCAGGACCCAGAAGTTTGAATTTTACTCGAAGATCACAGAAACCCTAGGATGCCTTTTTAGTTCCTGAGAAGCAGCCTCAGAGTTGAATTTACTTTTTTTTTTTTTTTTTTTTTTGGCTTTTTGGGTCACACCTGGCGATTCACAGGGGCCACTCCTGGCTTTGCACTTAGGAGTTACTCCTGGCAGTGCTCAGGGGACCATATGGGATGCTGGGAATCGAACCCGGGTCAGCTGTGTGCAAGGCAAACGCCCTACCTGCTGTGCTATTGCTCCAGCCCCTGGATTTATGTTCTTGAGAGGTCTTGATCCCTTCGGGAGGGAGATAACCAGGGTTATTGGGAGGTGAAAAGAGGGTTGTACTGCTGCATGGGGTGTCCTGGTGCCCAGGTTTGACCTGACTGTGAGCCCCAGGGCACGGTGCTGTCCCTTCCTACAGGGACAGGGAGTTACATTTTAGACATGTTTCTTCTGAGGGACCCCAAATGGAAGAGTCCTTCCTGACACAGGAGCTCTAGAGGGACCAACTAAGCACCCGGATGAGGGGGGCAGGATGGGCTCAGCTGGCACCCAGGATGACATGAAGAGGAAGGAGGAAGCAACTAAGAGGACAGCACTGAGGGCGCTGCCTCCTGAGCCCTTGGCCATGACTAAAGGTGGCAGCCCTGGGGTGGGGGAAAAGCACCAGGGTGTCCAGAGGTCTCCTTCCTCAGTCTCGGTCACTCCAGGAAGTTCCTGGGTGAAATTGCTTGAAGGTTAATGCTGGGGTTGAAGAAATTCACTCAAGAGCACAGCCACAAATGAGTGAACTGATTTGTGGAATATAACAGAATGGGAGACTCACAACCAAGAATACTAGAGATGAGTACCAGGAGGATTGATTCACGGCTTGGAAGCCGATCTCACATGCTGGGAGGAAAGGCAGCTCAGATAGAGAAGGGACCACCAAGTAAAGGGTGCTTGGAGGGCCCGCTCGGGATGGGAGATGTGTGCTGAAAGTAGACTATAGACCAAACATGATTGCCAGTCAATGCCTTTTTTGCAAACCTCAGCACCCAAAAGGAGAGAGAGAACTAAAGGGAATGCCCTGCCACAGAGGCGGGATGGTATGGGGGGGTCGGGGGGGTGGGAGGGATACTGGGATCATTGGTGGTGGAGAATGCGCACTGGTGGAGGGATGGGTACTCGATCATTGTATGACTGAAACGTAAGCATGAAAGTTTGTAAGTCTGTAACTGTACCTCACGGTGATTCATTTAAAAATATAAATAAATAAATAAACAAGAGCACAGCCAACCTGAGTCTTCAAGAGAGGAAAGAAAGGAGCCCCAGGAAAGGTTCAAAGCATATGGGTAGGGGGCCTGAGAAGTATTGGTTGCATCTCAGGAGTTCAAAGGGAGCAACAACCCCACCCCCCATATACCCCCTCCCCGCGTCCTGCCCTCCGGCCCCTGTAATTACCCGGCTTCCCCACGCATGCTTGGCACCCCTGCCCTGGCTTCCAGGGCTCCCAGGGATGAAAGGTGGCAGTCCTGTGATTACAGAGATGATGGGGGTATTGGATGCTCCAAAATATATCTGGAGGGACCTGGGACAATAAGTGTGGGTGACCGAGGTCTGGGTCATTCCTGGATCCTGAGCAGGGGTGTCGGGTTCCTGAGCTGAGGAAGTGAAATGAGGGACGCCATCAGAAGTTACACACCAGGCTGACCTCCAAACGGGTCTGACCAGTTCGGTTCTGATGGGATTCCTTGTGTCACTGCTCAGGGCCCCTCCCCACAGAGTGACCTGCTCCTCCCCCACTCCTTCCTATAAAGCCTCTTGGAGATCCCAGGCACCCAGACTCTGCCCACCCCCGACTCCGGGGGCCTGAAGGTACCATGATGATCAACTGGAAGCTGTTGGGGATTGTGCTGCTATGTTTGTGTGCCAGAGGTGAGCTGGGGTACGGGGGTGCTGATGGGCTAGAGCGGGCAGGATGCTCGAGATGTAGGAGACTGAGATTGCGTAAAAGGAAGAGTTGGGGGTTGTGGTGAGGCGGGAAAGTGCCTGTTAGGGGACCATCAGGGGCAGCTACTTCACGCGGGCGTTTAGATGTGGGTCATGTCAGAGGATGGAGGTTGCCCAGGTGTAGATGGCTTTGAAGCTCAGCCCTTGTCGGTAGAGAGCTCCAATCAGGGCTGGCTGGTGTTCTGGGGGTCCTATCAATTTAATAGATCAGACTGAACTCCTGATGGCTCAGGAGAGGGTTTCTGGGTCCACTTGCCATCCATGTGAGAGCCCTTTGAGAGTCACCTTTGAGGTGTTTGTAGGATGCGATCAGGTCTGACCCATCGCTGGGGCTGATACTGGGGGTCTTCCCTCATCACCCCTTGCCTTTCTCCTCCACAGGCACCTCAGGCAACGGAGACCCCCCGTCCCTCACATCCACAGAGGCCCAAGAGGAGGACTCCCCAGTGTTGCCTCAGGGCCCTCCAATCCCAGGTGACCCCTGGCCCGGGGCGCCCCCTCTGATCGAGGACCCTCCACCTCCAGGCCTCAGTCGTCCCTGGAGAGACCTGCCGGATTCCGGGGTCTGGCCTCCTGAGCCCCCTACAACCACTCCTCCTCAGCCTCCCCGGCCTGACGACCCCTGGCCCGCGGGAGCCCAGCCTCCAGAGAACCCCTGGCCACCTGCCCCCGAGATGGACCACGGCGCTCAGGAGGAGCCAGACCTTGACCCTCCCCGGGAAGAATATCGATAATAGGGGACCCCCGGAGGCTCCTGGCATCCAGCAGAGGCGCCTACGCCCAGCTCTATCCTCTGATCGTGGAATTCGCCCCAACTTAGCCTAACTCTTTATGTGCCTCCTCATTTCCTTCCATTTTATTCCGACCACGCCGTTCTCATTATTTTCTGTCCTGGAGCCCCGCGCGGGGCTCCGTATTTCCCGTCCCTGTCTTCGACGGGGTCACACCTGCTACCTCGCGCGCAGCCCTCGCCCCCACCCCTTTCCGCGGTCCTGAGCGGGGCTGGCGGCTGTGCTTTCTGCTGCCACCTGGTGGCCGACATCTGGGGACGCCTCAGGAGACATGGTACTTGGAAGAAAGGGAAAAATAAAAACCATGTTTTCTTCATTTTGAATCTAGGTTGTTTCCTTGCCAGTGGTTAGGTATTTGAATGTTCAGATTTTCTCTCCACAGTCTCATATCTCCTTAGAGATGTGGAAGGAATTTGAGTACCTGTCCTTTGGGGGTTTGTTTTTGGGCCGTATCTGGTGGTGCTCAGAACTTACGGTGCAGGGTTCAGGAGACCATATCAGGTTCTGGGAATTGAATCTGGATCACCACTGTACCCAGGTGCATGGGCTCAGGTTGTGCAGGAGGAGGGTCTCAGTGCAACTAAGGACCCGCAGACCCACAGCTCACCTACTCTGGGACCACTATTTTGAGAATGAGAAACTAAGTTGGATTTCTCTTTAGTAGTTTATGGTTTTATTCCTGTTTAATTTGTTGGTTTGGTTTGATTTGGATGTTGGTGTCACATTCCTGCTGCTCCAGCTTGGTGTTTGCTCCCAGCAGGGCTTGGAAACCTTGTGGTGCCGAGGATCGAACCCTGATCTCCTGCGGGCAAAGCATGCGTTCTAGGGCTTCGAACTGTCTCCAGCACTGAGAGATGCATTTTTCAGTCAAAGTTGACTTTTCTGTTTAATAGTGGATGTTTGTAAATCAATTGTATCTTATAATAATCATAAGTCCCCTGCAGGATAATTATTTTTTTTCTTTTTGGGTCATACCTGGTGATGCACAGGGGTTACTCCTGGCTCTGCACTCAGGAATCACTCCTGGCGGTGCTCAGGGGACCATATGGGATGCTGGGAATCGAACCCAGGTTGGCCGAGTGCAAGGCAAACGCCCTACCCGCTGTGCTATTGCTCCAGCCCCAGGATAATGATTTTGAATACAAAAGGTATTATGGTCATAGGAAATACACTTTTCTTCAATTTATATACAGATTTTTGTTACAGATATATAGTTAAAGGCTTTTCAAAAATATAATAAAATTGGGACGGAAGCCACAGTTGAGGGGGTATGCCATAATTAAACAAGGCCAATTCGGGGTCACTCCCCAGCACCTCCTATGGCCCTCGAGCTCTTCCAGGAGTGATACCTAAGCATAGAGCAAATAGTAGGCCCTGAGCATTGCCAGGTGTGGACCCTCCATACAAAAGAAATCCCCTCCAAGCAAAACTAAACAGACTAATAAAATGGGGAGGGGAGAGAGCACAAAGGACAGGAGTGCGCACTCTGCACCTGGGGTACTAGGTGGTCCCTGGTCTGGCACGGTCTCACAGCACCCAGGACCCTGTGGGGAATAACCCTGACACTACTGAGTATGGCCATTCTGAGGAACACCAAAACACCAAAACCAAAACCAAAACACTGAAACAGAAAAAAAATTCAATAAAAATGATTTCAAGGGCTGAAGTGACAGCACAGCAGATAGGGTGTTTGCCTTGTACATGGTCAACCCAGGTTCGATTCCCAGCATCCCATATGGTCCTTCGAGCACCGCCGGGGTAATTCCTGAGTCCAGAGCCAGGAGTAACCCCTGAGCATCGCTGGGTGTGACCCCAAAAAAGCAAAAAAAAAAAAGATTTCATAAGATAAAACTTGTAGCAGTTGATATGTAAAACTCTATTTAAATTAGTTAGGAGGCCTAGGGGGGACTGGCCTCACTCCCAGTCAGCAACAGCAGTCCCACCATGCCTGGCATCTCCGATAGGAGCGAAATTGCTGCTCCCCAAACCCCAGAAGGAGAGGGAGGGATCTATACCTGCAGTCCTTGCAAAGGCAAGAGTGAGTTCTTAAAGAATGGCACTTTCCAATTTTCCTTTTCATTCTTTCCATCTAGAATACATTTGTTGGAAAATATCGATTGCTTTTTGCTTGAGGTCAACAATAGCTATGGGGACGGGACTGGGGAGGTAGTACAGCCATAGGATGTTTGTCTCACCTGTGACTGACCCAGGTTCCATACCCACTCCCCTGTATGGTCCCCCAAACTGCCAGGAGTGATCCTTGAGTGTACAGCCAGGTGTGAACACCTCTCCCCTGTCCCCCCCCAAAACAGATATGGAGAAAATGGAATGAAAAAGGAACTAAAAGAAAGATAGACTTAGGGATGGAGTGATAGTACAGTGGCTAGGGCATTTGTCTTGCAAGAGGCTACTCAGGTTTGATCCCAGGTACTCCATATGGTCCCCAAAGTCTCCTCAGAAGTGATACCTGAGCTCAGAACCACAAGTCATCCCTGAATGCTGCCAGGTGTTGTCCACAAAACATAAAGAAAAAATAAAGTAGATTTGCTGACAGGCGAATGAGTTTATTTACAAAGAATATTAATAAATAGGAATGTTGTATTCTTAAGTTCTATTTGCTGTATTTAAAAGTTATTTTTACTATTTAAGTATTTGTAGTTTCCTGAAAAGTATACCCTTTGCAATTGATTTTTTTTGAGGGATGGGGCACTCCTGGTCCTGTGCTCAGGGATTACTCTTGAAGGGGCTTGGGGGACTATATGTGGTGTCAGGAATTGAACCTGGGTTGGTTACATGCAAGGCAAGTACCCTACCTACTGTACTATCGCTCCAGCCCTACCATTTACAATTTTTAAACTTATGATTAAAAATGCTAGTTGGGAACTAATTGGGAACTAAGTACAGGAGGAAAGGTGCTTGCAGTCAACACAGTTCAAATCCCTGGTACCACGAATGCCCCTGAGATCTTTAAGGGAGCACTTGAGTGGCAAATTTCAAGGGAAGAAGCCCAGAGATACCAATGACCTAATTTCAATCAAATAAAGAACTGGAGTAGGGGAAAGGGAAACTGAAGAAGTTCTAAAAGAAATTGAGGGCCCCATCCTTAAAATTTATCTATAAAGGGGCTGGAGAGATAGTACAACTGGTAGGGTGTTTGCCATCTACATGACCAACCTAGGTTCGATCCCTGAAATCCCATATAGTTCCCTGCCAGGAATAATTTCTGAGCACAGAGCCAGGAGTAACCCCTGATCATTGCTAGGTATGGCCCCCAAACAAACAAAAATTTACCAATTAGAGACCCAGAGAGACACTACAGAGTTTGGGCACTTGCTTTGTATGTGGCTCACCCAGGTTTGATCCCCAGTACTGCATATGGTCCCCACCACTGCCAGGAGAGAGACACAGTTAGGTATGCCCCACTCCACAACAAGAAAAGTTGAAAAAGAATTCAGTCCTTATTAGGGTTGGGGTTGTAACTCAGTGGTAGAACACTTGTCTTACACTTGTGAGGCCCTGGGTTCTATGCCCAGCACTGGACAAAAACCATCATCCTTTAGATCCCATTTTACTTTTGTGGCAACTCTAATTGAAGCCTATATAATTGATTTGAGAAAAATAAAACAGATGAAAACTTAGGTCACACCTAAGTTTAGAATTTTGAAATAATTGAATAACACTTAAGAATTGTGGGCAGCTGCCACAGAGGAAAGGTGGGATGGGGGGATGGGGGGTGGGAGGGATACTGGGATCTGTGGTGGTGGGAAATGGGCACTGGTGGAGGGATGGGTATTTGATCATTGTATAATTGAAACCCAAGCACAAAAATTTGTAAGTCTGCAACTCTACCTCATAGTGTTTCACTAGTAAAAATTAAAAAAAAAAAGATTTGTGGGCAGGAGATAGTTCAAGGGACTGGAGTAAATGCTTTGCAAGTGAAGTCCTGGGTTCGATCTGCTGTCAGTGGCCTCCAGCACCTAGGTGGGAGCCCTATTTCCCTTTCCCAGTACCTCTGGGTGTGACCCCAAGACAACAGTAACAACAAAAGAATTAGCTGGGGATATAGCTCAGTGATAGAGCACTTAAGAAGGACCTGGTTCTAGCCCCAGCACCTAAAAACACCATCAACAAACAAACCTCCCAGTACTACTAGGGTAGGTAGAATTATAGTGGTGAGCCTAGAATTTAAGAGACCCTAAAATAAATGGGTGAATGAGTGAACATGAAGAATAAAAAAAATACATTCTGTTAATTTAGCTTGGAATTTACATACCAAGTTACATAATAGTATCAGACAACAAGGATGCATGTCACTAAGTAATTATATGAGTAAGTGCCAAAATAATAGCCTTGTAGAATATGCCACGAGCTCAGTCACGGGAGCTGGAATAGTCAGGGAAGGCTTCCTGGAAGAGGACTTGGGTTGGGCTCGGTCTGGAGGCATGGAGACTGCAGATCATAGAGTAAGGGTCTCAGGTCACTGGCCCCAAGCATCCTTTCCCTTTTGGAATGATCTTTCTCTCTTTAACCAGTTGTTTTGCTCTTCAGTGACATCTCTCTCTCTCTCTCTCTCTCTCTCTTGGCTTCTTGGGTCACACCCATCAATGTTCAGGGGTTACTCCTGGCTCTGCACTTAGGGATTACCCCTGGGGGTGTTGGGGGACCATATGGATGCCGGGAATCCAATCCAGGTCAGCCACATGCAAAGCAAACACTCTACCCACTGTACTATCTCTCTGGCCCCTTCAGTGACGTCTCTTCTGTTCCCAACCTGTGGCCAAGCCCTGCCACCTTGTTCTGGGTGTAGCTATGTCTGGAACCAGATTCCATCTGTCCTTACGTCCCAGGCCTGAAGGCTCTTTTGGGTATAGTCTGTTCTGTGCTTGTCTTCTTGGATCCTTTCCTCATTAAAATTTTTTTATTGGGTCAGAGAGATAGTACAG